TGGGGTATGCGAAAAGACAAATTCCTAATGCAAGAAATTGTATAGGGCTAATAAAGCAACATTATCATTATCATTACAGGTGACTCTGGTGGCAGGCGAGCTGGAGCTCATACAGGTGTGTCAGTGCTGCAGAGCTGCTGGTGAGACTGTAGGCAGTAGCAGGGCCTGCAGTACCGCAACTGGAATAACACCCCCGAGCTGAACTCACCTTCACGTTACTGCAGCTCAGGTGTGAAAGAAGTGAAAATAAAACACAGTCAGTCTCTCTGTCACACCACTCTCTCTCACACACAAGGCATAACTGAGTCAGGTCTGTCTGTGTCCAGTTTCTATGGCCAGGCTGTGGACACAGAGCCTGTCCTCTCTGCACAGCCAGGTCTGTCTGTGTCCAGGCTGTTATCACTGAGCCTGTCCTCACTGAGCAGCCAGGTCTGTCTGTGTCCAGTTTCTGTGTCCAGGCTGTGTTACTGAGCCTGTCCTCTCTGGACAGTCAGGTCTATGTCCACTTTCTATGGCCAGGCTGTGGTCACTGAGCCTGTCCTCTCCGGACAGCCATGTCTTTACTGTAAATGTCCAGTTTTTTGTTTCTGTTTTTGCAACACTCCTGTAAATCTGTGCGAATTGATCTGTGTTCAAGCCTTGGTCTCAGTGTGAGAGTGCGCTGTGCTATCTGGACGGGCCAGGATGTTCATCACTACCCTGGCATAGAATTCACGCCATCATTGTTTACAAGTGTTCGTCTCTTTTATGCCAAATACCGTCGCGCCAGCAAAGCTTTTTAGTATCGTTTTGGCCGAAGAAGCGGATACACAGAGACCCCGAGAGAGACAGAGCTCCGCTTATCTCATCTGCGCAGTTCTTAAGCGCACGGAGGCTCTGAGATGCTCTTGTGCCGAAAATAAAAATCGCCTCACGGCCTCCTTCGTTGGCACGTTTCTACGCTTACTCCCACCTCACGACAACAGTCTTATTTTCATAAACAGTACCGCACCTGTCCTTCTCGGTATCCTTCGCTCGACTGCGCAGAGATTTCTCCTCAGTCCGGGGAACATTTTTCCCGGGACGATAACGTTAGCACCTTCCGCCATAACGAAGACCGCGGAGAAGCGAGATGCGCCCCAGCTGCGCACAGAGGCTGACAGCCTCAGCCTGCCAATCCCGTTACTGGACATTCACTGCCTGCGAATGGAAACAAGACACTGGTTTTAAGACTCCAGTTCAAAGGGCCTTATTGCAAGGACTTGATCAATCGCGGTGTAGCTGAAGCAGTAAGATTGATCAAACATTTACAAAAACACTGCTGACGCAGCCATCTACTCGAGCATTTACAAATAACAACTTACTACGAGGCTGGGCAAAAAGACCGCTTAAATAAGTAGTAAGAAAATTTAATCATTCTAGCATAAACAATCTGACACGTGAATTCATAAACAAAACGCTTATACATGGAGAATTGTATGAGAGTTCAAGTAGAAGAAAAAGGCATAACTAGACAAAAAAAATCCTTTGCAACTGAGGTTTCTCATCGTTAAAATGTCTCTTCTCCCTCGGATCTCAGATTCCCGGTAAATCCAGTTGAAGGAGGGGAAAATCCAATTCAAATACAGTAGAGATCATTATAAACGACTAAGAAACTCCAGACAGGTGACGGTTAATGTACTATCGATAAGGGCAGGGTTTTACAACCAGGTATTAAAAACACATCTATCCCGAGACTTAGGAACTTCATGCCTTCCGGAAAAAGCCTCGTATAAGGAAAACTCATAATTAATTAAATTACCATAAATTTATATGGGGGAAAATTATAATGCACGCCTGACCCCAAGCATTCAACCTATTCTCACCCGTAAATGCTCAAAATACAGCCCAAAACATTTACACAACAAGCACAAATTCAGTTTATTACTTAATGCTGTTCAACAAAAATATAATAACCGTTCACTGTTTCTTGACATCGTTTAATTTAGCCATTAAAACTTGAAGGAAAAAGTATTCAAACATGTAAAAATTAGTGAACGAACGTAGCCTAGCCTAAATGTTTGCTATTGAAAGCTGCAGCGATAAATGGTAGGCGCATTCATTATAATAACACTGAAGTAAATAAGGACAAACGGCTAATTAGCATAAATAACTGTTATTGCAAACAACAGCACAAATCAATGTTAAACCGTAACATACTATGTAGTGTATTGTTTAATCATTTATAAATAAACAACATACACGTCTGAATAACGTTTCTAAACTGTAGAGTAATAAATGAGAAAATGCTCGTTCAGATTCTCACCTGACAAGCTGACAATCGAGTGACGAAGAGCAGAGGGGGTGACTGAGACAGGCTGTCGTTGTCGTTTTGGACGCTGTGATGGTGATGACTGACACAGGGTACCAGGGGGTGGTGGCGTACATCTCGATACGCGATGTTGAAGCCTGGGTATCCGTAGGAGTAGGAGTTGGGGGAAGTAAGGCAGCACCTCTCGTCTTTTTATCACAAAGGTCTCGGTAACATTGAACAGCATCGCCCATGTGAGCTCTCAACCGACGAACTCTTTCGAGGTTACCCTCGTTTCCGTCCGCTTAAGAATCTGCCGCATCAGTAAAGGCAAAATACTGACGAAGTGTTGCGGTATCCATCTCTTTCGGCAGCCCGCCACTGGCTTCATCGTCCTCCCCCAGTCCTCAGGCATCAAGCTGCAGGATCTCTTCCTTCGTCAGCTCGTCCGTCTGGAACTGTGGCACCTCTTGGGCATAACATCTACACCACTGGTCTCCTTGAATCCAGCTTTGTTAACAAGCTTCACCGTGTCTTCTTTATTGTTGTTTTGTTCCGTGGGTACGAAGCCTTCAAAGTCATTCACAAATTCAGGCGCAAGTTTTTTCCCCATGCAGTATTCATTGTTTTTGTACTTTCTCCCATGCAGTTCCTTGATCCTCCACAGCCGTTGTTAAATAGTTTCTATTGTTTTTCAATGAATCCTTAATCTTAAAGTGTTTTAATCTTTGCTGTCCAGTCCATCAGTGAGAGATATTTGATCACCAACTGCATCTTACATGCCTTAAAGCTTGATATAATACCTTGGTCCATTGGTTGGCTTAAAGATGTTGTGACATATTGGAACAGACAACCAGTTACACATACCTGGGTCTAACAAGTTCATCTGGGAGTTCTAGCATTGAAGGCACTGAAGATGAAAGTGCACTGGGCTTTCTACACCACGTTAAGGAGGTTTTACAACATCACACCTCCCCCATAAAAGTCTGGTTGTGAATTGTAGAAGTGTAATCAAACCCATTGCCCTATATGGCAGTGAAGTGTGGGGTACAATCACAGGCCAGGCTTACACTAAATTCTGTAGCACACAGAATTCTGTAAAAACATTGATTATGCAGAGAAGAAACACCTAGTATGTATGCAGGGCTTAATTAGGCCAATAGCCATTGCTACAGAAGAAAGCAATAAAATACTAACTACGCCTGAAAAATAATGACCAGAATTCCTACCACCACAAGACCCTGCAGAGCCAAGAGCTGAGCCTGGAGAAGAGCCCTCTGAGCCAGCTGGTCCTGAGGCTCACAGCCACCAACCAAACTCAGCAAGGCACAGCTAAAACAACACAAGTCCAATTCAACCAAGAAAGTACATTAATACAATCAATATTATAAATAATATGCAATAGAAAGCATGTGATGTAAGAGAAATATTTGGAGTGAAATTACAAAGATGTCTTTAGTGTATCTTCCTTTAAGATTAATAATTCTTCTTCAAATTCTAAAGAAAGAACAGATACCCAAATGTTAAAGCTTCTGTTTATTATGACAGATGATATGAAAATGAATACTACATAGCAAATGTGAAAATAATATTTAGCATCAGGTGGCCCACAGGATGGGATGTAAGCTTTCTCCCAGCACAGCAGAAGAGGGGTTCACTGAGTCTCCCCAAGTCCGCAGTGGGGGTCTCTGGCTGTAGTCTTGTCTCCTGTTGTTTCCCTTCTCTGCTCTCTCCTGCACGAAGCTCAGGGGGGTATCTGGACCCCAAAGGATGCGAATCAAGTCCAGTAATCAGAGCCACACCGGGTCTGTGTGCTTCATCCCAGCCAGTGACACGTACATGAGGCACAAAGCAGACCCCACAACCTGCTGTCCTCCCCCATGAGCACAGCTCCAGGCACAAACACAATCAGTGGCTTCATGAGACAACCTGATCCACAGGGAATTATAAGAAAACCATAAGAATAACAACTGAATGGAGTAGGAATACATGTACAGTATATGATAGGTAAGAAAAACATAAATGGAAAGTTATTATAAAAGTAAGAAAAAAATAGTCTTAGTATCATACATTGTAATTATTAAAGTTAAAAAGTTAAAAATTAATCTTAAGCAAAAAGTCTTAAAATGAATATAATCAAGATGGTAAATCATTATTCAAATCATTCATCATTATTCAATCATTAATCAAATAAATTATATTATAATCAATATTATATGAAATAAAGCATGTAATATTATACATTATGATATAATATAGTTTTTTTTAATAAACTCTCCCACTGCTATAGCCATCAGTCCACCCAATACATTGATTATCTATCATGTTTTCTTTGGGCTTTAAGGCACCTTACAAAAACACTTGAAGGGGAACTGCAATGCTGTTTTCATATTTTAAGGTTAGAAAGAATCAGCTTTGAATAGTGTATTTCAAATCGCAATAAAAGTAAAATGTACACAGTAACTTGTAAAATCTCCGATTTACATCACAAAATAGACAACATTCCTAAGTATGCACAGCACCAAGTTCTGCAATTCAGAATGAGGCAACAAAACATCCAGTGACATTAAGCAGCCTTATTACATTGTAAACAAGCAGGCTTGTGAATACATCTCTTTCAATCGAACAGAACTATTGCTCTCAACTTCGAGATGGTTTTGCCGACAAATACCAATTACTTGTTAAGTCTGCATGCAGATCACATTGAAACATTTCTGCAGTGAAATGTCTGCTGCACAACCCATATTCATTCACTAGTACATCACATTACATTAATCATTACAGTGACTAGTGAGCAGGAAGAGCCACATCACGTCACAATTCTCGCTAGCTCTCGACAACATGGCCACTATACGGTACTTTCACAAAATTCACCACTTTGTGCTAAATTCAAAATTTGTCATTTCTCCTAATCAACGCATTTATTTTGTTACTGAGATTTAATAACCAGTCTGCGAAATATGGACTGCAGTCCCCCTTTCACATTAAGAACAGAACTATGAATTTCATTTCTGCTATAACGTGATCCTTGGCTCTCAAAGAATGTGGCATATTTCATAATTATAGCATAACAGTATGACAGCATGAGACAGTACAATGTTTGTGAGTTTTGTAACGTGCTAGGCTCATTTTTTATAATGTGCTCTTTGATAACGATTTTGCCCTACACCGACAGTAAGTCCTGATACGCCTTGACAAGGCACGACAACGCCCTTAGTTGCTACCCCCAAGCTGTCTAAAAACAACAAAAAGAAAAGCGGACTAGATATGTGTAATACTTTGATCGAAAAAACGTCCCCTCTCATCCATGAGCTTTCGCCATTATCCCTCGCTGTCAAATAGTGCCGCTTAGACTTCCCTTTCATCTTCTGTCCTTAAATCCTTTAAACTGTATATTGAATCGGTACTATGTGTTGTAATAAACGCTGATACAGTATGTGAACTTTATATATAATTTTTTTCACTATTATTAATATATATTATCCTATGTCACATATCTAAACACCCTGAGCTGGGGTTGGGGTATGCGAAAAGACTAATTCCTAATGCAAGAAATTGTATAGGGCTAATAGAGTCATCTTATCTTATCTTAATTGTTGCCTTTAATCATTTTAACTGAACTAATTTTCAGACGATTGTAAAACGAGGAATCTGTGTAGGTCCCCAATCTGTAGATCTCCTTCTATCAAATGCAGAAAAGACTATAGGTAACAGCTTGCGCAAGAAAGAAAGAAAGGTGTCAATATTTACAGACTTAATGACTTTTGTGGACAATGACAGGAAAACTGGGCTGGCACAAGCCGGACGGACCCCAGCAGCTGAACACCATAAGGCACAAACAGGGAGTGCAAGTTTGGTGAATGTCCCTCAGACACAGAATGGAGGCATTATTTCAAGTGACGTTGACATTCAGATCCTGGACTCCACTGTGTAATTCATACAGTAGGTAATCAATGTAGAGTAACATGAGAACCTGGGACAGTTTGAGGACACATTATCCAGGTTTCTCACTAGAGCTCATAAGCTTGTTTTCCTCCAGTCAAGTTGTCTCGAAGATAAAATGTGCAAAAGTCATTTGGTATCATAATCACAGCATTTGATCTTTCCTTGAAAAGTGGATGATTTCCTATTGATGATTTCAGTGAAATTACTTTCTGTTTTGGCTGGTTCAGCTACAGATGAGTGTTGTTTCTCATTTGTTTTTCCATTAGTTAATTCTTCAAGGGTAGCACCATCACCAAAGCACTATTTACAATGTTGAGGGATTTAACTGCATTATATTTAACAAGGCAGCAGTTCTGAAATAAGGCCAGCAGGAGGAAATCTTGAATGTCAAAGATCAATGACTATGAAAATCATTAAATGAACAAGTAAAGGTTAATTCCACACTGAAAAGTAGAAAGAAGAAACACAAAGTTTTGGCTCTTACATCATCTTCAAGTGTCAGGGAGAGAGAGTAAGGTGGCAGGAATATAAAACACAGGAGAGCAAAGGACAAAGCAGACAAGGATGAACATTCAAAATCTGTGTTTAGAAGCAATGGCTCTGTCTTTGTCAGAACATGTTTGTCTCTCTGGATCTCTTCATATGTCTGGATGTCCTCCTCCTATTGGATCTCTTCATCTGGCTGGATTGCCACCTCCACCTGGATCTCTTCGTCTGACTGGTCCTCCTCCTCCTCCATCTGGACCTCTTCATCTGTCTGGATCACCTCCTCCAGCTGGATCTCTTTGTCTGTCTGGAGACTCTTCTCCACCTGGTTCTCTTCTTCCTCCATCTGCATCTCTTCCTCTCGCAGTATCTCTCCCTCAGTTGGACAAGAGTTACTGGACAAATTATCACAGCCCTCAAGAAGCCTCCTGAAAGCATCGACAATGAAAGAAGCATCAACATCTTCTTGCGAGAACTCGGCTTCAAACGTGCTGAAGAGCGACTCTCCCAGCTGCCCATGTTGGTGACATAGGCCCTTCAGGGCTTCCAGAATCTCATCTGGAGCTGCTGCTTCTTTCAGCAGTACTGACAGCTCTGGGTTGTGACCCGCTGCCTCCATGAACCGTTTCAGAACACCGATGGGCCTTCTATTGTCTCGCACCTGGTGAATCATCTGTTTTATAATGCTGCTGATGATGGCCCAGAGGGAAACTGCATACTCGATAATGCTCTGCTGTTTCCCAGAAGGGGTTCTGTAAGAGTAACCCCCTGTGTGCATGGCAACTAGCCGGCCATATCCGTCAAAAACTGGGGAGCCAGAGGAGCCATCAAAAAAGCAGGTGTTGTAAGTCAGCTTCTCCTGATCATTCTCTAGGGCTGTGAAATTAATTTCCTCTAAGTAAGAATTGTTAAAGATTTGAAGATAGCGAGAGTTTCTCACGATGTGGTCTGAGGATGCAGCCTTCCGTTCGTTGAGCTCAATAACTGAACATATATCCTTCTTTTTGATCCCGCCGTCAGGATGGCCAATGATGCAAATACCCCCTCTCTTTGGAAGGGAGCCAAATTTCCCAAGGAGCTGGGATGGGAGACCTGTGTCAGACTGGAGCTCCAGTAAACTATAATCAAGATCCCTGTCATAGGCCAGCAGCTCTGATTTTGTACCCAAAATCTCTCCAGGGCAGCCAGCTTCGAGGTGTTGGAAGGTGACGGTTACCTTCTTGAGCAGCTTCATGCTTTGAGGATATAAGATGTTTTCAACCACATGAGCATTTGTAAGGATAAAGCAGTCAAAGAGACAGAAGCCTGTGCCTGTGGGAGACTTCTCAATGAAGATCTGACAGACAGAACAACTGAGCTCGTCCAGCATCATTGACTTCCACACCTCCGAAAAAATCTCTGTATTTTTCCCATATTCCTCTCTGAATATTCGCGCGACCTGGGAAAAGTTCCTTATCCCCTCTCTCTTTTTTAATTGCTGAATGAGGCCTTCAAACTGGGATCGAAGAGCATGGAGCAACCCCTCGGACTGTGGAATGGCTTGGTATCGCCTCTTCTTTACGCTTTGAGGAGCAGTAGGATTGGACTGGTCTTTGCATGTGCTGCTAGAAGAAGGAGTGGCTGTAGGACAAGCTGCCGGGTCCGTGGAGTCACCCAAGTCCCTTGTGGGGTTCCCAGGCCGCAACCTTGCCTTTGATTCAGTGGGTGTCTCCTGGCAACACTGTGTGGACCGGTGTTGCGACTCTCCATTCGGCACGATTAGCAGCAGGGTGAATACTCTGCCATCCAGCTTGTCCACTCGAGAGGACAGCTCCACAGTTTTTGCCGTGAGTAGCTCCGAAAGTTTACAGCAATTCTCAAACACGCAAGGAAGGAAGCGGCCGTCTCTTTCTAAAGCCTCCTTGACCGTCTCAGCTTCAAACGCGTAGACACAAATTTTGCAGTCTTTTTTATGAAGGTGGTTGTTTTGCAACACCTTCCTGACTTTTGACTTCTGTTGGCCTTTAGGTTTTATGTAGAAAACAACTCCTTGGCCTCTTCCATTTTTCAGGGGTTTGGCAGAGTGGGAAATGATGCGAGATTCACTTTTTACAGCGGGAATGTGCTCTAGTTGGAAGCTCTCACCCTCTTGGATAAAGGAACAAGGCATATGAGCTGCCACCATGCCCGTCAGATGTTTCTGTCCCACAAGGACCAGATCTTTCTCCTGATTGTTCTCCAGGTCCCGAGGCAGAAGCTCTGCCACTGTTGTGGCTCGGTCACAAGTAACCTCCCTGGGGTCCCCAAGGGCATATTCACCATAGAAGATGACAGAATGGGGCTTGTGTTGCTCTTCTTCCATCTTCCTCATCTTCTGCCTTGGGGGCTGGGCAGCAGACAGAAATGGACACACAAAACAAGGAAAGAAAGGTTAGGGGAGGCACACAAGTGTGATATCTATGCAGCAGTGCAGAGGCATAGTCACAGGTCACAGGATTGCTAACTGGGGTGCCGTGAGTTCAAGTGGGGCTTAGCTGTTGTACCCTAGACCAGGCTTCGCCACTTGGACAGCTCCAGTAACATGGCCAGCTGTGTCATGAGTAGGTAAAGTGGGCAGACAGATTAATAACAATGTCCAAAAGACTCTCTGAATCAGTGGTTTTCAACCGGTGTTGGCAGTTATTAAAACTCACTATTCAATCTGACCAAAATTACAAATCAGAAAACTTGTGACAATTAATCATCAAATACCTTAAAAGCGAGGTATATGTCTTTTTGATTATAAACCATGAATGTTCTAAGTGCAGAACCAGGACTTAATAGCAAAAAGGAGGCCCAAACCTGCCATTTTTTTAAGCACACATTAAAATCCACAAAGAAATGGTTAATTGACCACAAAATCAACATTCTGCAATACCCATTTCAGTCTCGGGGCTTGAACCCCACTGATAAGCTTTGGTTTAAATAGAAGAGGACAGTCCATAAGTGCAGACCGGAAGATATATAGGATGGACAAAATTCTGTATGGAGGAAGGGTATATGATCCCTCCCAATGTACCACAGATGAGCAGGAGTGATGAATGACACTGACCGCGTTCTCCTTCCCATGTGCCGGCCGCTGTGGAGTGCTGCTGGGCTGTAGAGGACACAAACACAAAAGTAAGCAAATGTGGCACACACCAACACACTGCAAGACGCACTCACTGACAGTCCCTGCAGCGCAGTCAGTCGAGCAGCAGGAGGAGGAGTGAGAGCAGCAGCAGGAGGAGTGAGAGGAGCAGGAGGAGGAGTGAGAGCAGCAGCAGGAGGAGGAGTGAGAGCAGCGGCAGGAGGAGGAGGAGTGAGAGCAGCGGCAGGAGGAGGAGGAGTGAGAGCAGCGGCAGGAGGAGGAGGAGGAGTGAGCTGCAGCAGGAGGAGGAGGAGTGAGAGCAGCAGCAGGAGGAGGAGGAGTGAGAGCAGCAGCAGCAGGAGGAGGAGTGAGCTGCAGCAGCAGGAGGAGGAGTGAGCTGCAGCAGGAGGAGGAGGAGTGAGCAGCAGCAGGAGGAGGAGTGAGAGCAGCAG